ACGGTATCCGCACTCAAAATCTTTTTATTCAATTTTTTCGCTTTATTCATAAGTATGTTATTATTCTCTTCCAATTGTGTCAAGTGCTTCTTTTTTTTTTTATTTTTAGTCTCATTCTTATCCTTATTTTCTTCGTTATTTATGTTCAAAGATTCCTTCTCCTCTTTCTTTCTCTTCATCTTTTTCTTCTTCTTCTGCTTCATGGGAATGACATCGACGATAGCATCGCCCTCCCTTTTCTTTTTCTTTCGATCTGGAATAGTTGAACCCTGAACCTCTTCTATATTTCTCTTTTTCTTCAATTTCTTCGGCTTGCTAGGAATATCGATCGGAGTCACTTCCCAATCACCTTCCTTTTCGACGACCACTTCCTGCTTCAGTCTGAATTTTATTTCTCTCTTGATCTCCTCAGGTACCTCTTCCGGTGGCTCTTCTATTTCAGATCTCAGATTATTGTATTGCATCGTGACTGAGAGACAGGTAATTCGAGCGCCAATGTTAACACTTTCTAACATGTCCAATGAGTATTTGCTGTATCTCCATAGCTTAATTTCACCGGAACTGGACGCGGTAACCAACAAATCGTCCTTAAAAGCCATACATTTTACTCTAACATCATGTGCGATCGTTTCCACGGTTTGTACAGATTTGTCGAGATCGTATAACTTGATCTGGCCATTCTCCAAACCAACCGCGATTAAATCATCCTTCAAGAACTCCACGCAAACGATCTTCGAATCGAATTTAATCTCGCTATCGATTCCTGCTAATTTTACCGAGTATACATCTATTCTTTGGTTCACAGCCAGTAAATACTTTTCTCCGCTTGGGCTCCATTTAAGAATGTTCACGTTCTTAGCGTCTAATTGTAATCTTGGTACTAAATTCGTGGCAAATGCTTGTCTTCCTTTAACCAAATTCCAAGTTCGAAGTACACCGTCCGCTCCTGTGGATAGCGCTATTTTCCCCGTCGGATGAATGGCCAAAGTATTCACAGCTAATCCTTTGTGCGGTTTCAACCAATGTTTTTCCAGTTGCCAACTGCCACAACGAACCGCAGCTATACTTCCGTCGTTACTGCACGTGAAAAGATGAGACGTTTCGGGGCTAAACGCGACACAATTAACAGTACCTGTGCAAACATTTATAATAATAACAACAATAACAATTGACAACTATACATTACCGCAACTTTTTTTTAAACTTACCGTTATGATGCATTAATCTAGCACATTCTATTCTGTAACGCAAATCGTATAAATAAATGAAATCGTCCGCTCCGCCTGAAGCTAAGTAGTGTTTGTTACTGGTAACGCTGCGTATACTATTGTAATGACCATGTGTAGCGAATGTTTTTTCCATTTTGTATTCCTGAAAATTTATCGATTGATTAGAAATATACAAATCGAAAACCGACTTTATACGACGGACATAACCTAAAAGAGACTTGAAACTTGTTCACTTACATTAACGATATTGTTCACTTTAAAACCGAGTAAATATTGCTCGTACGTTCCTACGACTATTTCAAAAGGATCTGCCATGTTTAAATTTCAATGAACCTATTTACACGAGCCACTGTTCTCTTTGAAAAAATCGTACCGATTCGCACGTGCATCAAAGAATGGATTTGACACGCAGCTAACCAATGTTGTGTGCGTGGTGCCGACGCGACGCCGGCCCCACATAAGTCACTTGTATACACATGCATTCGTATTCACGATGTTTCCCAGCGTTATGTCACTAGATGTCACTAGGTACACAACAGAGCAACGTTTATTTGCATGGGAAATGATTTATGATTTCTCGTAAATAACGAGAAAAAATTAAATGGAATATTAATCATTAAGCAGTTCAACTATCAACTGATTAATCGACCAATCGAACTAATTAATCGTTAAACATATAGTATGAAAGAGCGATCATTACAGCGGAGCTGTAATTTTTTCGGCAATTGAAATTCACATTAAAACACCTTATCTAATTGTATAACTTTATTTCATTACAGCCACGTATCAAATTGTATACAACGTTAAAGAGATAATGCTTGAGTGTATATGTATGATAAAGGGAGAGGTGGCTGTAGTGATCGGATGATTTTCTTGTAGCATTCCGTGAGAGAATCCGGTAAAGAGTTTCATTATTGACTCTTCGACATCGTTACGATAACGTCGTTAAAATACATTTTAACTGAAAGTAACATCGAGTAAACACGTTGAAAATTTTTACGCATTAACGATGGCAATCTTAATTACGGATATCGATGTAAAAGACCTAAGATTTCCAACATCGTTGTTAGCAGATGGAAGTGATGCCATGGTACGTAAAATTTGCAAAATTTCTGTATAAATAGCTAATAATGTAAGTAAGTTTTTATTTGCGGCGAGATGATTTTGAATGACAGCATACGGATCCCGATTATTCTTGCGCATATGTTACGATCAAGACCGAGAAAGGGATCGAGGGATACGGATTAACTTTTACTCTGGGCAGAGGCACAGAAATCGGTATTCACATTTAGCTATGTACTTAATACACGAATAAACGTGTAATTATGACAACATATGTATAATACAAACTAGTTGTAAACTTCACTAATAAAATTATTGAAAATGTTCGTAGTCGTGCGGGCGTGTGAATCGATGTTCTACTTGGTAAAAGGTCAAAATGCTAATGAGATTTTCGCTAATTTCGGATCTTTCTGGAGAAAGCTAACCAGTGAATCGCAATTAAGATGGGTAAGGTATACGATAACGTACACGAAGATAATGTACGATAATGCGATAATTAAACTCACAGTATGCACGATAAACTATAGTTGGGACCCGAGAAAGGAGTTACTCATCTTGCCACGGCAGCTATAGTGAACGCACTGTGGGATTTATGGGCTCGAATAGAAAATAAACCTGTGTGGAAACTACTTGCGGATTTAACTCCTGAACAATTAGTGTCTACGATCGATTTCAGATACATGTAAGTTGAGATACTTTACTCGATACGAGTTCAACTGCAGTAAACAAATCGCACATTTTTCTTAATCTTTCTCAGCACCGACGTCATTACGAAAGAAGAAGCGATAAAATTGCTGAAAGATAACGAGAAAGGGAAGAAGGAACGCGAAGAGACGTTAGTGAAAAAAGGATACCCAGCA